TCCCCGAGGGAGAAAGATTCATAGTCTCCCTCACAGAAGTTTACAGAAGCCAATGGAAGGTTGTTAGAAGTCAACATCAACTTGTTATCAGTGGATTTTAAAAAAAGTATATAATGCACCAGCAGCCAGGAAATGAAAAGAGGTATTGCGATGGGAAAGTCTGATGTTAGGGATGTTAGGGACCTCTCCAGGGTACTGAAGAGCAATGGTGTCTCTCTGGAGACTAAGGTGCCTCTGATACAGGCCATGGTCTTTGCAATCACTTGTTATGCATCAGAGAGTTGGACAATGACTAGGAAGGATAGGAGAATTGATGTCTTTGAGCTGTGGTGCTGGAGAAGAGTATTGAGGGTACCATAGACTGCTAGGAAAACAAACAGATTCATCCTGGAGAGGGTTAAACCGGGTGGCTCCTTGGTGGCAAGGATTCTGAGGCTTCTTCTGACATACTTTGGACATGTTGTAAGCAGGGACTGGTCCTTGGAGAGGGACATCATGCTTCGTAGGGTGGAGGGACAGCACAGGAGGGGAAGGCCCTCTAGGAGGTGGATTGATTCAGTGACTGGAGTAATTGGGATGGGTGTATCGGCGACGGTGCGAATGGCACAGGACAGAGCAGAGTTTAGAACTGTTGTATAATAGGGTCACAAGCCACTCGATGGCACATTAACAACAACAACAATAATGCACTTTTACATTGTGGTAAACATGTATTGCAAAACATTTGCCATTTTACCAATCTTCACCTGTATAATGACATTAGGTTTATGATGTTCTACCACTGTACCCTTGTCTGTTCCCAATCACCCTTAACAGAGCTCAGTGTCCTCTGTTGTTGTTGTTGTGTATCGTTGAGTTGGAACCGACCCATAGATGACCCTCCAGCAGATTTTCAGAGGCAGTGTATCACAAGGGAGGATGCCCATCTTTCTCCCATGGAGCAGCTGGTGGCCTCGAACTGTGTGCCTTCAGGATAGCAGTGCAGCAGCTTACCACTAGGCCACCAAAGTGTCCTCTGTTGTTGTTGTTGTTACATGCTGTGGAGTCGCTGTGACTCATAGCGGCCCTGTGTCCAACAGCTCTGAATCCTGCTCTATCTTGAACCAACCTCTCTAGATCTATCATTTACTTTCAAAACCCCAAAAGGATTGAGCTCTCACACTCTACATCCTGTTTCGCGGCTTCCTTTTTTCCTTAACAATAGATGACCTTGAAGCCCGAGGGTCCCAGGTGGAAGGAGAGGGTGGTTAGCAGAGAGGGGGAGGGCGAGCAATGGTGCCTTTAAATCTGAGTCTTGATGTAGGGAAATCCCCAGCAAAGGTGCTTAGGTCACATTCTTCACTTTCTCCAGAATTTCAGTCACTGATGTTAAGAAATATGACAAGCTGATTTATTTTCTGTCAAGGAAAATATCTCTCCCAGGAAAATGAGTTACAACACTCACTCAGCGCTGTCTGGTAGATGTGCTTAGGTTCGCGGTCCTAGGTTGGTTCTGCAGAACAGGAAACCCCTGCGCACCGGCATACAGAGTCATGGGCGGAAGCATTGGCTGCAGATTCGTCTGTGAATGGCAAAAACAACAACCCTGGAAACAATTCAAATGTCTACTAGCACGGGATTGAATAAATAAATTGAAGCGTATTTATACTTAACGATAGTAATATATGACGGCAATTTAAATAAATAGACTAGAATTGAAAATAATGTTGAAGAAAGAGAGCAAATGCATTCTCACGTGTGGCATGAGCGCATTTTAAAAACACACAAAGTGCTGCTAATTATTTGTGGATGTGAATCAGCTGGGTTCTGCTTCAAAACTTAGACTTAGGAATGGCTGGATGAGTTTAGATGCCATCTTCGATTTTCTCCCTCTCTTCAAGATTTTAAATTGGCCAGGCAGCTATTTCAGGACATTTCCTTCAACATCTCAAGGAGACATTAGAATTTGAAAAGAATGAGTCTGCTCCGGGATCAGGCCCCTAACATCAGAGCCACTTTTATTAAGCCTACAATTCAGTCAGAGAATGTGTTGCTTTCCAACGTAGGGAAACTCAGAAATAAATGGGGAGGTTAAGCAGGCTAGAAAGCAATAGGAAACGAACAGCTCTTTAATAACAATTTTAAAAGAAAAGTCCTGTTTGGGGAGCTCTGGTGGCCTAGTGGCAAGGAGCTGCAACTACAATCCCAGAGGCACACGGTTCGAATCCACCAGATGCTCTGCTGGGGAAGGAGAAACAATCTCCTCCTGTACCAGTTAGATCTGATTTGACGGTACACTAACATAAAAATAATAAAATAAAAATTAAAAAAAAAAATGTCCTGTTTGGGGAGCTCTGGTGGCCTAGAAGCTGCACTGCAACCCCAGATTCCACCAGTTTGAATCCACCGCATGCTCTGCTGGAGAAGGAGGGGCTGTACTAGTCAGATCCAATTTGACGGTATACACAAAAAAAGAATTAAAAATTAAAAAAAAGAGAGAAATTTCCTGTTAGTCTAAAAGGTCCATTTTGAGGAAAACCTCTTTATCAAGTTGTAATCCTTTAACTGTTGCAATTTGCTACAAGCTCTACCAGAGAGCATCACTCCTTTTTGTGAACATAATAGAGTAACCAGAAAAAGGAAGTGCTCACCCGTCTGCCACTAAGAGTCAACTTCGTAAGAGACAAAGATTGTTGTGTTCCGTTGAGTTAGAACCAGCCCCTAGCTGACCCTCCAGTGGGTTGTCAGAGGCAGTTAATCACAGGGGAGGAGACTGCCCATCCTTTTCCTGCCCTGATTTGGGTCTCTAGCCTCCCCAACACCGAGATAAGAGATTCCTGTGTTATTTGTTGTACCAGGTAATGAGTTTTGCTGCTGCTAATAGAAGAGTCCGAGATTTAAGTCCATCCAGGGGCCCTCGGAAGAAAGCCCTTGTCCTAGACGGTTGAGAAACCAAACACTAGAAAAGGTGTGAACGTGTAGTTCTACTCTGACGCATGTGGGACCACCGTAAGTCATCGTCAGCTGGACAGTTACAAGCTCCCTCAAACACAGGTTTGACTTTCTATCCATGCCCCCTGTCTTCCATCTGTTGGTGGAATAACTCTTCCTTAAAAAGTGCAGTGATCCTTTCTACGAAGATGGCGCCGGAAGCGAAGAAGGAAGCCCCTGCACCTCCCAAAACTGAAGCCAAAGCAAAGGCATTGAAGGCCAAGAAGGCAGTCCTGAAGGGCGTCCACAGCCAAAAAAAAAAGAAGATCCGCA